TGGGAACAGTACTCAATGTATAGCTAACTTTAGCATCGGCTACAATGCCATCCATACCAACCCATACTCTACTGTACACTAGAAGCTGATGAGCAATAATAAGCTGTAAGCGAATGTTAATGCCTTAATGCCAGTGCTTTGCAATCACTATCAGTGCCTTCAATGAGAATTGCATTCTTGTCTCCCTTTTGGCCTTCTTTTGTCAAATGAAAGCACAGTCTATACCGACAGTCGGGTCCCTGTATTGACATTGCATTACATTATATGCCATTTGGGAATTGATTGCACCCAACCATCAATACAATGAGAAACTACTTCTCCTACAGTACTACTAATGTTTGACCAAAAAAACAATTCACACTATCGGCCAATCCATTACCGATTCTTGTTTTCTGTTGAGCACATGTTTAGTCCATTTGTGATGTGATGTCATCTGTATATCAATTGCCATTAAATGCATTCAAGACTTATTGCCAAACATTTTTTATATAAACAATAAAATCATGTATACATTCAATGCATTCAATTCTTACCATTTGTGCAAATTCTGCCCCAAAAAAGTCATGTAAAAAATGAATTTTAAATTAAAAAATATAAATTCTCTATTTTGATGTCAAGATTGTGTAACTAAATGACCAAACATTTTGCAAATATTGTGGACAAATGTTTTATCTGTTGTTTTGGTGACCAGAATCACAGCTGCATAACAAACATCATTCAATGAAATTCTTGTTTATGTTATTATTTGGGTACAAAAATTGTTAACTATTGGCACTGTTTCTGATGGTCAGAAATATTGTAGAAATGGTTTTTGATTATCAATGAATTGACACCAATTGATACGAATGAGTGATTATAGTATTGTTAGGTTAGGTATCATAACAGTAGTGAATGGTTGTTATGGCTGTGCAATGACTTGACGGCATCGGTTGGTCATCCGGTTGACCCACATTTCCATTACACCACCAGTCCTTCACTCATTCAATATCAATAACTTTGTAAACAACTTATGGTCAGTTTGCAAGGACTGCAACGTTTAACTTTTTTTTTGGCAAACCGTCGGTCCGTTTCCACTGCCAATTGAACAGTCAGTCAGTCCTCTAACTGTTAACCCAATACACGACTGTTTGTTAATATTTATACATAACTCGCGTTTGCATTTGCGTTATACATGTGGTGTTAGGCTCAAGGTCTGGTCCGGTCCACCAACTTCTGTATAATGACCTATAAATGTCTAGACCAGGGGCTCAAGTGTGTGCTCACACAGAGTGAATGAGCACTTGGTTTATGTATCAGTTGCGGAACAGACAGTTGTCCACTTTATATCATACTCTCAATGCATTGCCAGTACTGTATATTTCTAGTGCTTCACCAGAATTGTGTCCAAAATGAACTAAACTTTTAAATTTATAGTGACTTTTACTCATGATTTCTAATAAAAAAGACTAATTTAGTGATTGAGTTATCAGTGAAAGTAATGTTTTCTTTGGCTTCAATTCTAGCACTGGAAGAGACATCACTATCGGCGACGACGACCATCTCTACACCAGTCGGAGTGACACAAACAGACTGTTCTCCACGTGAACAACAGCACCAGTTGTTATGTCAGGATATATTAGTTTGTGGTGTTTGTCAGCGAGAGTTCGCATTACAAGATATCCTCAAATTTATATCACATAAAGTGAATTCCTGTAGTAATAAAGAAAATTGTAGAATAAATGCATTCAACGCTACCAGTGATGATGACTTGGACGACGTGGACAGCGATCTGGCCATCGGTGATGACAATCACTCGCCCGTCGACACCAACGCCGACGACCCGAACGCCAGTCCAGTAAATGTGAGAAAACAGTCGCCAAGTATTATAAACAACACTCAAAGACATAAATTAATAAAATTGAGACACAATCGACTCCATACACACCGAAGTCAAGCGAATCTATTGAATAGTTCTTCACGTCAGACCAATTCAAGTCCTCCTCAAAGTGCAAATACCGGTGAAAAGCCAACTGTTGCTGACGCGCAAACATACACTATTAATTCAGGTACCGGTAATTAATGCCATATTAACAAACATACGTGACTCCCATCCCAATTGCCATCCCATCTCTCACTCACTCTACCGTTCACTACAAAAGCGCTCTTTCTTTCAATTTAATGCCATAAATATAATGTATTTATGTTTAACTGTATGTCTGTCTCTCTCAATGCTCTCTCAATACTAGTCCATTGCCTCACTATTACCCCCAAAATGTAAATCATTATTCCTTTCATACAAAATACTAGAATAGTAGTGAAAATTGCGATATTTTCTTCTCAATAACTAAAAAGTTATATTCAGTGATATTCTTATTGAAAATTCTTATTGATATTCAATTTTTATTCACGTTTTGATAATTTAAATGCATTTATTTGAGGCCAACGTTTGCAATGATCTAAACCTGGGATCAGACCGTTATAGCGATCGCCCCCATATGTGCCATAGATATATACCACACGTTTTCCTACACACAGAGAGTACAGTGTATTTCACTGTTATTATAGCTCAGCAAACATTGTCCCCCCAAATGACTGCACCTCTGCTGTGCTGACCGGCCCAGGAAGTGGAGGAATTGGGCTTAAAATTTTTACCAACTTTTTTAGCGATTGTCTCTCTCAGGAGTTTTCATGTGTAGAGAAAAAAATGTTAAGAAAAGTCCAAATTGAATGTTGCGATGAGAGACACAGAGAGAGCCCAGTGGAGTGAGTATAGGGGCCGTCACCCTCGACTCGCCCATCCATTGTGAGGCACCTAAGAATCCTGTGTCAAAGATGTCGAGTGCAATGCAATACCAATTTTTTAAGCATTTGCTAAACCATTTTTGACAGCAAGTAGTGCGGCGTCCGGTCTCGCCTCAACTCACTGCCCGGCCATCTGCCACACTATCAAACCTTATTATATAATATTACATAATATCTGATTCGTTGTATAATATTATACATCACAGCTATTAGTGTTTTTGTGAAATTAGCAAAAAATCGATTTTCCTATTAAACAATAAGATATATTTAGTTGACATACAAACAGACCTTTTCTCTGTACTATTTTTGTAAAGACTTATTTTGAATCACTTGTAAATAGAGTATTGAATGGAAAGTCCGATATAAGAGTTGAATGGGAGCGAAGATTTATTGGGTGTTAAAATGTAACACTTTATGGTAGGGCTAACTGTCGGGCACTCGACCTCCTCTCAGCTTTTCTCGCCCACACAATGGGCACCAAAAGAACCTTTCGATTCGGACCATAGGTTGACAAAAGCCAATACAAGTGTCAATAGAAGGGTCTATAAGTGTTGGGGCAGTGGAGAGGACAGGAGGACAGCCACCCACTACTCCAAACACATTGTCCAATACATATCAAATACGATCACTTTGTAGTCCAATATTGTATTCTTATTTATAACTCAAACATAACATGATTTGAATCAATGAGTATTGTATTTGTAGTGTAGGCCAGGATTTATGGCCCCAACAAGCGATTGAGCGCTACCTAAGCAGATACTAAGTGACCGTATTATCAGTTTATAGACTTGTATGTATGCAATGGTAGTGTCAATCCCTATCCCTAAATGCTTGTTATATCCAAATATAATGATATTATACACAACTTATTCAACGCATACATAAATTTTATATATATTTTATGTGACACAATGTGTTTTGGCGATCGCTTCGCATGAATTGCACACCATTTGAATTGTTTGTCATTTTCTCATATCTACAAAAAGATGTAGAAAAGAGCCATCGTTTGCATGGTTTGCATGGTTTGTGATCCACTCCCAGGTTTTCATTGTCGCTCGCGTGACGAGATGTCATTTCCGATTAAAACCATATCCAACAACACGCGCCTAAAACCTCTATCTTCTAAACATTTCTCTCTCCCCTTCTCTTTACTCCTCTCAGTCTCTCTTTTCTCTCCACAGTTTATACACTCTCTGTTCAGGCCTTCAGGGGTTTTAAAATGTGCTAAAAACCATTTATTGATTTTATGTGAAATAATGTTCAAAAATTGTTCACAAAAAGTAATAGTGAATAAGAAATGGACACACATTTGTAGGGAATATATATTCCGTTATGTTATACCGTATATGTATAGCAGAGAACATACTTTTATTTATGCAAATGATTGATCAGATATACCATATATACCAGCGCTCTATCGCCTGTGTATTCACTGTCTGGCTGTCCATTATATAGCTTTTTATTTGTAGACATTTTCTTCAACTGCTCTACTATTTCACCGCAATTGAAATGAATGGTTGAAAAGTTTGCTGTTTTTTATATTGGGTTTTGAGTTTAGGTTTTGATTAAGTTTTTTTCTCTGGATTTAGATTTTTCAATGTTGTGTTGTTTTAGATTTATATTGAATTTGTCGGGGAATAAAAAAATTACAAAAAAAACTCAAACCGGGAGATAGACATAGTTGGGAGTTCTGGGAGTACTGGTTGGGAAGGCGAGTGCCAGTGCTGTGGCAATGATTGTGGATGCAGGAGGTCCTGACAAAGATGGATGATTGCTTGTGATGACCGCTCGCTCACTGCCAGCGCTTTAATTTCCTCTCTTAGACTTTTTCTCTCCTAAACTCATGTCCTCTCTCTTTGGCTCTGATTTGCATAAATTGAACAAAAAGTGCGTCTCTCTCTCTCTCTCTCTCTCTCTCTCTCTCTCCTGACTCAGACGACAGTTCAGCTGCTATTTTATCACACAATCACTATTAAAAAGTATTATTTTTACTTTAAATTCAGAAGTCAGTCCATTTCGGAAATTATTTGTTCAAAATATAATTAGTTAATTGAATTTATATTCAATTCATAACATCTTTACTCTAATAGCGAATCATTTCCTTGAATGGCATTAAAGAATTGATTTTATATTTGATTACATAATAAAATGAATGGAAAGAATTGATAGGTTTTAACGAGATTTTTAATTATAATTGAATTTCAGAGCCCATAAGTCAGATGTGTAGCACATGTAAGCAAATATTCGGGTCGTCGTGGCTTCTCGTACAACACGTACAGAATCTGCACGGAATGAAGATATATGTGGATATCTTCCACAGCGAGCCATCTATATTGCCTCCCATAGACGGTCATCACTCGCACCCTCACTCCCAGAGCCACAATCACTCTCGCAGTGGATCGAGTGGTGGCCACACATCGAGTCAATTGCTTGGAAGCAATAATAACTCTATCAATGCTTCACATCATTCAGCGCTACAACTGTTGCGAATGCCGTTAAGTGAGCGTCAATTCCCGGTTCAATCATTCATCGCCGCCGCGGCCGCCGCTGCAGCCGGTCGTAGCAGTGGTGGCGGGTCTGGCACTAGTCATGACGTGTTCGGCCACACCTCTGGCCAGGGATCGAGTGTCACGTCCACTCTTAACCATTCCGTCAGCGGAATGTTCTCCGACGCCCACAACATCTTCGGATCCACTGCTCCGCCGGACTCGACCTCAACAGTCAAGAACTCTCCCGGAAGTTCGGTTCGGCATCAGAACAATAGCGCACTGGCGTTACCGCCGCCGCCATCGCTCTCTTTCGACACACAACTCGACTTCTATTCCCAACGTTTGCGTCAATTGGCGGGAGCGACGAGTCCGGCCGCCGGAACCAACTCTACTTCGCCGCGAAAGTTGACGCCTCCTTCATATCTACAAATGTCTTCCTCTAACACAAGAACTTCGCCCACAATATCATTGACGACATCGACTGTCGCGTTGTCCGACCGGTCGGTCACTCCGACGGCACTAATGAATCCCTCGAGTCCTAAATCAAAGTCTTGTGAATTCTGTGGCAAATCGTTTCGATTTATGAGTAATCTTATAGTTCACAGGCGTTCCCATACGGGAGAGAAGCCTTTCAAATGCCATATCTGTAACCACGCGTGCACTCAGGCCTCCAAACTCAAGAGACATATGAAGACACATCTCAGAGAACGCAATAATACATCCAATAATGCACTCAATCTAAACAACTCTCATATAAATTGCTCGGAAAACACAACCGATTCGGGAAACTCTGCGCCCGACTCATCCACTCCTTCATCTAAAAACAATTTAAGTCTTCCCACGACTACCACAACCAATGGCGGAGATATTGACCTCATGGACGACGACGAAGATATCGACGACGACGAGGACATTGAGGACGAGGACGAAGAGGTGGACGAAGAAGGGAATGATGTGGAAGACGGTGAGAATGGAGACAATTCTCGTGCTTCAAGTGTTGAGATGGTAGCCGAAGACCTGTCGAGTCGCACAACCGGTAATATTAACGGCAAAGCGAACACCGATAGCAATAGTCCTGTGGGTGTGTCGGGTGTGTCCGCCCGGACCTCAAGTGCAATGCAATCGCTTTTGGGTGAAGTGATGGAAAAGATAGGCTTAACAGACATTCAACAGTACAACGAGGCGTACAAACAGGCCCTCGAAGAAAGTGTTAAGACTGTGGTCGGCGGCTCTGTTAGCACCGGTAACTCTGTTAAACAGGAACGACCCTCTTCTTCATCCAGTCATTTGTCTCATACGTCAGACCATAACCACAACAGCAATGCTTTGCATATAAACAATATACTGAAGCACTCGAAGTCTCATTCATCGCACCATCACTCGCATCATTCACACCATTCATCCCATTCAGCCGCCAGTCCTCATCGACAGAGTTTTAATGAATTGGTCGCCGGAATCGGGAGTTCAGTCACTTCTGGGGGGAACGCAGTGGTCAGTCCTGCCAGCAGTCTATTGAGCAGTGCCTTCGACCACAACAACCCTTTCGACCCAAAACGTCTTAAACTAGACTTCAACGCGGTTTCTGATCAAAGGGATCCACTCTATGCCGGTCTGTGGTTGCCATCCGTGGCCGCCAACCCCTTCACCGCCTCTTTTGCTCATCACTTATCGGCCGCGTCTGACTCAATGGCGGCCGAATTGGTCCGAAACAAAGTGGACAGCAGTGCCTTTTGTAAGAACTCATCGTCAATGTCCACTTCGAGCGGTAGTCCACGTCCGGGACCTTCCAGTTCTTGTCGGAGTCTTCATACGCCTCCATCGCAACAACACATCCACAGTAATAGCAATAACACGTCGCCGACGGCGGGCAGCGGTCGGGCGGCCAACACGTCGCCCAACGAGCGCCGCAAAGAGCACCACCACAGGAGTCGGAACGACACGTGCGAGTATTGCGGCAAAGTCTTCAAGAATTGCTCCAACCTTACGGTCCACCGGCGCTCACATACGGGCGAAAAGCCGTATAAATGTGAACTGTGTTCGTATGCGTGCGCCCAGAGCTCCAAACTCACCCGTCATATGAAAACACACGGAAGGCTCGGCAAAGATGTCTACAAATGCCGGTTCTGTGAAATGCCATTCTCTGTGCCGTCGACTCTGGAAAAGCATATGAGAAAGTGTGTCGTCAACCAGAATAGCGCCGGCGGTCTCTCTGTCGGTATGAACAGCGAACTCGCACTCATGGCTCTACACCACACGCTCTCCAACACCAGCACCGGTAGTAACGACAAGGACTCCGACTCGTAATATACAGTATAATCCTATCGATTATTACTAAACTAATTGATAAAATAATTTTTATTATTATTATTTCTTAAACTGTTTGCTAAACTAAATACTAATTTAATTAATAGTTTTGTTTTGTTAGTGAGTTTGATGTCAACTGTTATTACATTTAGACATTATATTCAAAACTAATCACATATTCTCTAAACTCCTAATATAAACGCCAATAACTATTTGATCCGATTTTTCTATAATATAAACCGAAATTATGAGAACATGTGGTTAAAAGAGTATATTTTGTTCTTTTAATTATTATTATTAATATAATTATTATTATTATAAAAGACTATTTATTTAAGAGCAGAGACAAAGAATTTCAAACTTACGTACAAAAGACATAATAAATGAATATAAGATATTAAAGTGAAGCCATTTATAATCTGGTCGATAATAGTTGAGATACACTTCAGATAAACTCCTATTAAACACAAATATTTGGCTCAAAATAACTAATGAATGGATAAAAAGCATAGCATAAGAAGCGATAAATTTAACTCTAAATAATTTTTTGTGAATTAATTTGAACATTAAATGCCAAAGAGATATCATTTTAAATTATATGCAAATTTGAAACAATAGTTTTGAATGAAATAATGAAATGATATTTAAATGAATGATAAAACAAACAAATATATTATTATCGGTTACATCATAGGGACAAACAAGGAGTGGTTTGATCCCGCATACCATACACCGCGGCCTTTCATACAAGTCTTTATTTATTTGGTCGGGAATTATATCCCGATCTCTATATATATAATGATTAGGAGGAGAAGGAGGCACTACATCCAGAAATACATCAATTGAACCATTTTGTGATCAATTTATTATGATTAATAATTGCAATAAAGTGCCTAAACTTATTATTACTAAAACTTTTTCAATAATGATTAGTAATTATTAATATAAGTAACAAAAATATGTCCCATAAAAACAATATTGAAGTTAAAATATCTGATACTTAAAGTATCGCTCGATTTATCGATAAAAAAGCCGATAAAAAATGTAATAATTAAACACAAAACAAATACAAACCGAAACTTTTGTCTCTGCTTTTTATTGTCTTAACACAAATGATAACTAATTTTTGATTTTAAATTTTATCTCTCATTTGTCTAAAAAAATACAACTCTTTCGTGCACTTTGTTTAATATATTGTAGAGCTATTGTAATGTAAATGTATGAAACAAATTATTATTATTATTATTATTATTATAACTATTATTATTATTATTAGTTGTTTTATATTATTATTATTATTAATATTATTATTATTATTAATTGAATTAATGAATAATTAGGTCTAAATTGATGTAAAAGAAATGATTGGTTGCCTTATTATATGACAACATATTTGAGTGTAAAGGAGACACTTATTCACTCGATTAGTACAAAAAAAAACTAAAACAACAAAAAACATGAAAAATTATATAATACTTTTGAACACAACAACAGAAAATTAATATAAATATAATATAACAACAGAGAAAGTGAGTCCACAAACCTGGAGCCCGAAAGTGGTATTTTTGCGCTGTTATGTAAAATTTAACAATTAGTTTATTAGTATTGCATGACTTCATCCTTTTTATTGTATTGAATAACACGTTAAATGCTTTTATTTGATGACTCGACTCATTGTGTTTTAACTGTATTTTTGATTATTTAATACATAGTATTTGTATGTTTTAATCGCTTTTTCTCTTTCTCTTTAGCTTATTTTTTTTCTCCACTAAAAACCCATATTTAATGATAAAAAATTCATTCATTTTATTTCTTAAAATTTTTAATTTGATATAAATTTCAGTGAAAGAAATGTAGACTTGAAATGAAGTTTAGGACTCAATATAAATAGCTTTTCGTAAACATATATATAAATAGTGACCGAAAACAGGGTTTTCATTCATATTTGAAGCGATAGATTAAATTCATAATAACTTATAGTTTTAAAAGAGATTTAAAATTATTTCTAAATTGATAGCGAATCTAAAATTTATTACTTTTTTAATACTTGAAAAAAAAACAGTACAGAAAGAAAACTTTTTAAAAGATATTTTAAAGACTTTAATCTCTCCTCTCTTTCTATATCTCTTTTTGAGACAATAAGTGACACAAAATACAAGAAAAACTTTAATATAAAATATTATAATACACTAAAAAAATCAGTGAAACTTTTGCATGTGTTTATCACAAACTATGTTAAAGTTTTGCTCCCAATTATTGCTTTACTTAGTTTTATATTTATTTGATTTATTAAACAAATAATTTAATACCAGTGTTTCGACGTGTTATATAAGAAAATAGATATATTTTGTTTTTATTTTGATTTTTGTTTTATTTAGAGTGTGATTATTACATACATTACAAAGAATATTGACAACAATTTTACATAAATTATTTGTTAAAAATATATAAATAATAATAATTGAGATAAAAAATGCTTCAAAAGATCGATTGCGCTCTTTTGTAACAATACAATAACGGATTCATAAACAGAGTATTAAAATATAATTAATAATTAACAGAAACAACAAAAAACTGTGAAATCCAACAGAAAATTTACATAAAAGATAATAAGTTTATACTTATATATTGAAGGAAATTTGTGTCCCCTTTTAAAAAGTAAATATTAATTATATATATCATTCACCGGTGAACTATATATATAAATATAAATGAGAATTTTAATTATATATATATATATTTATAAAAACGCTTTCATTTCTTCTGTATTTGTCTTCTTTTTGCACCGAAGAGTAAAAGAGTAAAAAAGATTAGAACTGAAAATATTTGTATTTGTTTTTATCATTGATTTCTCTAATTTGTCTCTTTTTTAGTTGGTTTTAATGATATTTAAAAAATTTTATAAATAATGAAAAATAAATTTATTATTACACTAAAAATGCGATCGTTTTATTTGATTACAATTTAATTTACTTTTCAAAACTACTGGAAATATATCGTGAGATTTGGTCAATACTATGGCAAACAACTACTCCTCATATAAATGGATAAATCGATGTTTATAGACATCAAATACAGACAAATATCTTATCGGTTATAGTATTTGTCGTAATATTTATTATTTATTCAATTCTCCGAAAACCTTATAAAATATATGACTTTTGATGTAATATTGAGAATTTTTTGATACAGATATTATAGAATATAAATGCGATATAAATAGCAAAATATGATCACAAAAAATATTGAATACTATTTCAATGATTTTTTCATATTTTTTTCATACTCCCCATAAAATATTTTCTATAAATGTTTAGGAGGAGAGGAAAATGAGTGCGAGAGAGAGAGAGAGAGAGAGAGAGAGAGAGAAGCTGTTGGGGTAGAATTTGTGATAAACACATGCAAAAGTTTCACTGATTTTTTTAGTGTATTATAATATTTTATATTAAAGTTTTTCTTGTATTTTGTGTCACTTATTGTCTCAAAAAGAGATATAGAAAGAGAGGAGAGATGGTGATTGTTTTTAAACAATAATAAACTCATGTTGTAAATATTTGGTTCAGGAATTGATAAATTTAACATTTATTTACATCAAGACCTCTTAATGACGACAATTATGTTGAAAAAATTAACATCAAATATGAAAGCCATAAACGAGTGAATAATGTTTTAAATTGAAAATTAGATAATTTGTTGGAAAAATAATCGATATTTTGTTCGCTGAGCGAAGAGCAGACTTATGATAGACTGAGTGTCTGTTAAATGAGAGTTTATTGTGTATAATAGAAATTGTGTCATAAATAATATGATTTATATTTTATAAAATTATAAAATGATTTTGTTTTAAATTTGTAAAAATCATTTCTATGTTTATAATTACTTTAAATAAGAAATTAAAAATTCATATGATTTGTGAGCTAATGAGAGGTAAGTTTTGCAAACAAACAAATGTATTGCCTGTTTAATAACGTGTGGGAATTGTTTACTATTGAAATACAACAGATCATGATATAAATAATAATTTGATTACAATGTTTGAGATGAAAATCACATCATTTGATGACCTTTTTGTTACCGAATATATAGTGTTATAGAACTGAACATAAGGTTTAACTCAACAACTCATTGGTTTCTGGCATTTCATCCCAAATGCTCTGCTTTTTCTGAATTCTGTTTTCTTTAAAGTTAGAGATAAGAGACTATCGACTCATGATTTTTATGACTCGTAACTTATTTTATTGCAGATTCAGCTCATATTCTGCTCATATATTTATTTATATATTTATTATACAATACTTTCTTCCCTTTTTAATAATACATAAAAAATTAAATCTGGAATTATGTGAAAGAAATATTCAAATTTTTTATTTGTTTCGCCAATAAGTTTATATGGTTTGCACCAAATATATAAGGAAACGAGTGGTTATTTTGAGTGCATTTCACGACTTTATGAATCGGTTATCAAAAAAGGAGAAGAAATATTGGAAATAAGAGTTGAGAGAAGAGTTGGTGCAGTGTTTGCATTGATATCGAGTATAATATTTAATTGGATTTGAATCAGTGAACCGTCAGATGATGTGAATGTGAAATATTTGGCTCCGATTCGCGTGTGAAGTCCACAAAACTCAGTCTCAATCTATTGAATACAAAACAAGAAATTATTTTCTTATAGATTTTTATGTTATATTGTATTGTATATATCGTGCGATCCATTGTGCGCACCCATAGAGCACATACACTGTACAGCACAGGCACTGGTAGAGTATCACTGATATCACTGACACCGACAGCGCATATATTTTTCCCTTTTTTCTCTTTGCATTACTAACTAATTGCATGAACACTACTATTCTATCTGTTCTCTCATATTCTACCCCAACAGCCTCTCTCTCTCTCTCTCTCTCTCTCTCTCTCTCTCTCTCTCGCAGAGTGAATGCCTGAGCGTTACCCCACCAACCCATCCAACCCATACCCATGTAAGCCTTCGTGCATTTTTTGTGTTCAGCGCTCGACTGCAAGCTTTTGATAAGAAGACTTTAGGCTTCCCTCGAGGATTGCCTTAACTTAAAACAAACACACTTTTTGCATACAAAACATACAAAAAACTTTTTTCTATTCTCGAAAACCAGAAGAACTTTCTTTATATACTGTATATTATAAGGAATTATATGATTGTATGGAGAGATGCGTTCACATCGACCTAACATTGCTTTCTTTTGCATCTCTTTGACAAACCCTATAATATCACAAAAACCATTGGAAATTGAGTCCAAACTGAATATTATTTGGCGAAACTCTCTTCACTTCTATTCGCTTTTGGATTAAAAACAGTACTGTTTTTGTTTCTGTAGTCAATTCATTCATTTATGGGATGTCTGTCTATAAATAGAAAGCGAAAGCAAATGATTTTCACTGCAAATGCAATGCATTGAACGGAAATGAAAAGCGTTTCGTGTAATAGAGAAAAAAAATTGTGAGAGAAAAAGGTTCGCGTGAACCGACTCTCTCTCTCTCTCTCTCTCTCTCTCTCTCTCTCTCTCTCTNTCTCTCTCTCTCTCTCTCTCTCTCTCTCTCTCTCTCCATTCCCCTCTCACTCCCTCTCACAGTCAACTCAGTTATACCTTTCGTTTATTACTTGTCGGAGGTTTTTATATATTATATACACATTTCGTTCCACTTTTTTCATTCATTTTTTAAACATTGATTTTTATTTTGAGTCAGACTTTTAATAAAGAGGTGTAACGCGAAAGACATCAAAAGGGCTTTTGAATGATTAAGTGAATGTCTCGATATTTTTAACGCATGTTTTCTGATTAACTGTTAAGAGTCTATCAAAAAATTAACTGAATTTAAATGATTTTTTGCGTCAAAATTAGTTTATATTTAATATTATATTTGATTATTGATTACAATCAGGAATATAATTCCCGTAGAATTTAATAATAAAATAAAAGTAATATTTTTTATATATTTGATTGGAAACGAAATGGCAATGAAGTCTATGTATGGATTGAATTTGGCATTAAAATGGATTGAAATCTTATTTGAAAAATAAATGTTTTGATTGAAATGATTGCAAAACGCTATTCAGTCAGGAAATTGAAGAACCGTTTGGTTCACCTCTAATATGAGACCAAAAACAAGCAAACGCTTGAGTTTTGTTATTTCTCTTTTAACCGGATAACAGTTTTTTGTAGGAAAAAAGTATATTAGGATTAGAGGGTCTCTCTGTTTGCATAATTTCTTGTCGGACGGGTAAAAGTGAGCCCAAAGGCGATTCAATACATAATATTATTACTGATAGTCATTCTTCATATACTTATGCAAAGTGTATGTATTTTAAAGCTACAAATTTTGCAATGTTTGAAATGTCCGAATGTTTAGATTAAGGGGTTTTGGGACGACATCAATGAAATGAAGCACACATTGAAAAGGGGAACGACAGGGGAAGCGAGAGAGAGAGAGAGAGAGAGAGAGAGATGTGTAGAATGAATGAAGAATAAGAAAAATTGCTTAAAATAATTACTATAGAGAATAGAGAGAACTGCTCTTATAAATAAGAGAGAGAGAGAGAGAGAGAGAGTTAGGATACATGGGAGACAAGTAGTGAAAGTGTCGATTGTTTGATAACTATGTCATCTGGTCCTAAGATATAGATATATTTGTGTGGATTTCTATATAAATGGATTTTATATATTGGGAGTCCTAAATATTTCTAACGGCAAACCAGCGCTCATTAGGCATTGCAACAACTGGTTGTCTACAATAGTTTAATAATAGCAATACCTTTAATGGCTTTTATTGACGCTTTCAAAACTTTTGGGTTTAATGGGAAATAGCAGTGAGAGTGAGAGTGAGAGGAGAGAGAGAGAGAGAGAGAGAAGAGCTGTGCGTTTTTTGTTTTGAACGACAGGCGATCCGCAGGGAAATTAGAGTTAAAGGGAGGGTGGGTTGGGATGCGAGTCAATATGGCTGTGAGAAAAATGATAGATACCGGAAAGGGGTAGTCATAGTCATCATTATAAAAAAGTAGTGCACATAAAGTGAATTAATATTGAGAGTAAAGATAAGAGTTGGCTTCCCTCCAGTCCCCTCTATAGCCCGCTCTATAGCCCCACCGGTTTTGCCCCCAAAGGCAATGTGTTGTACAGAGTTGTGTGGAAGCATAGAAAGCATAGAAAGCATGATTGAGTTGAGCGCATCATTACTGTTATGTAAATTTACTGTCTTAAGGAATCGGTGCCATTGAGCACAACATTGCCAGAGCTCTGACAGCACAGCACTGGTAGGGAAGATGAGAAAACAAAAAACATGTGCACATTATGTGATGTGTTATGGTTTGGCTGAAGAATGGCTCAAATCATTGCAATACTGTTGTACTCAACCTTTTTTGGCTCAAACTCTTGCAATAAACCATTAGTCTCTGTATTCTGTATATTCTGCATATGCAGAGCAGGCATTGTATGGTATGGTATGGTATGGTATGGTATGGTATGCCTCACATGCAACTCATGTAAATTTAATTCACTTCCCCTTTAATTTATTTTCCCTTTTTTTATATCAAAGTGTTTTTGTGGTCCAACACTATTGCCATGCAGTGAAGTATAGAGTAGTGTTAGTAGTGTTCGCCCGTATGTGTAACGCAAGGAAAGGCTGAATCCCTTCCCACTCTTGCGCTCATTTTTAATCGCTATAAACCATCAGTCATTTGCCGGGCGGACACGTTATCCAATTCTCCCGTCTATTCATACAATCGCTGGACTAGAGCTGAACAGAAGAAAGAAATCGTTTGTGAGTCAAGTTTTTTACAATTTTTACATTTCTCTCTCTCTCTCTCTCTCTCTCTCTCTCTCTCTCTCTCTCTCTCTCTCTCCAACGATTCACAATATTCTTCCCCTTTTCCTGATTTTCAACTCTAAAAAATCATTTTTGTATCTTTGCTTTCAATTTAGTTCAGTTCCCTTCGTATTGTGTTTGTGATCCCCTTTTGGTCCAATGAATCCCTATTGGTATACATGAATGAACACTCAGAAGCACTGCAAGTGAACTACAGTTTCGGATTCATCTCAACAAAAAAATTGCAAAAAGAAAAGTCGATTCTTATATATATTTGTTATACTGTTTTTTGTCCGTTTGCTCTTTCGATAGGCTAAAGGGGCCGCACATGCGTTACCCTCACAGCCAATGACATTCCAAACTGACCACTAATGCGCGCATGAATTGGGCAGACAGAGCAGCACTTCACCCAAACTCACCCACACTTACCATTGTATCCAATATTCGTATATATTATATAAGATGTATATAAGAATATATATCTGTGTTTCAAGTGTTCGTTATATGTCTTTGCAGTATATATAACAATACAATAGCAAAAGGAATAAAAACAAATCGCAAAACAGTATTGAAGAGTTTTGAGAGTGTGTGTGTGTGTGTGAGAGAGAGAGAGAGAGAGAGAGAGAGAGAGAAGTAGTGACTAAAAAATTGTGATTACAAATCGATATTTAGTAAAAATGTGATGAACTATAAGAGAGGAGAGAGAAGAGGAGAGGAGACGATAGAGAGAGAGAAGGGCTTAAGACAGTCTAATGGAAATTGAGATACGAGTTAACTCTATTGGAAGGCTTTTTACATCAAACTTTATTTTAATGAAAAAAAGTATTGATTTGTTAGCGAGCAGTGCGTCCAAAGCCTGTGGAGCTTCACAGCTAATCACGTGTTTTTGGCTGTATTTCTGCTCATCTCCTCTTCCAATGTCTCACTGTTTTTGATTAAAGGATTTAAAAGCACAGGAATGGGAGTATGGAAATAGTGATGCAAATACTGATGCAGTTGTGCTGCCATTGAGTCCACGGATAGAAAAGAATAAAGAAAAAAGGAGAGAAATCCAGTGGAAACTAAAGCCCGAGTCATCGCAAAAATTGGATCAATTCTTGCATAAAACGAATAGAATTACAAACTCTTGCTCTAACTCTACAAACCCTTCTCTCTCGCTATCGTCTCCTCTCCTCTTCTCTCTCCTCTCTTATAGTTCATCACATTTTTACTAAATATCGATTTGTAATCACAATTTTTTAGTCACTACTGTAGAGGACAAGTATACTTCATCACAGCTTACGGCACACACACACAGCCATACATACATCATAGCATCTCAACCCCTATCCCTAACTTCCATAGAAAAACATGCAGAATAGTGAGGCTCTAAACTACTACATATAATTTCCCCCGGGATTGGACTGCTATATAGAATTGAAATTAAAGTTAAAAAACAAATAAACTGCACATAAATGTAAGGACAATATAATGCTATCGAAATCCTTTGAGCGATTTCTTTGCAAAAAATCACACTTTCATCAAAAGACAATATACATATATAAGTTGCATTGGTATATATCACCAGGCACAATATAACACAGTACACATCAGCATGTTGTATATGTACACTGTATATATTTCAGCAAAACTTTTGTCACACTTCAACACTTTAACTCATTCTCTCAATCATTTCTTTTTCCCAAACTTTTTCTCAGTTCCCCCGAGCCTTACGTTGAGATAGTATTTAAAAAACACATTTTGCTTCACATTATTCTTTCACATTTTTTGCTGTATGTATAGTAGAGTCGAGACTCAGGAGTAGAAATAATTAGAAACTTTTCAGTACTGCTCTCAACGCACTCTTTTCACTATATTTAGCGCAAACCATACATTTGCGACACAAAACTCTACGTAAGTATTGATTATTTTTTTTTATCTCTGCATTAAAAATGAATTATTCGTTATTCAATATAAGACTAATATTTTTTTGTTAGCTTAATGTCGATATACTGTTTGTCAATATTATATATTTTTCTAAATGCTGTTCTTATAATTATTCTATCAATTAATATATTTTGATTTATGAAATTTAATCTAATTTATATTAAATCACTTATAATTATTGAGATAATTTGTTAATACCATAATTCAATCACTTAAGTGTTTAATGTCTTCGTTAATAAATAGTAATTTATATTTAAAATGTATATAATTATAAAAATTGTTGTCAGAATATAATAAAATTTGATGAATAAAATTTGTTTGTTTATTTTAAAAAGGGTTTTAATCGTTATCAAGGGTTTAATTGTAATTAGCATTAAATGTGATATAAATTAAATGCTTAGTCGATATGAATACACACTTCAATTAACGGCATTTATATTTTGAATATTGTATTAGCTATTAAAGGAAGTGTGAAATAATTTTTGAGTAAAAACTATTGTATTTTATTTTTTAGACAATACTATAATTTATATTTTTATGTGAATACTCTTTATGGAAAACTCTTGAAAATGACTGATATATTGTTAAATCGCTTTTTCTTGCCATATATTATAGCAATATATATGCAGTGAAAATGAATTTGAATGAAAGTGTTTACAAAAAACATTAAATATTTATGGATTGTTTGCAATACAAAAGGAGTTACGAAACTACGAAACTATCAATTTTTATATATACTTTCATTATTGCCTAATATTTCACATAAAATGCCAAATATTATCCGTTTTATTGGCCAACAAATGTCATACTTATTGACCATTTGTTTAGAAAGTCTATTGATTTGATAATGAAATTTGAAAACGTTTTGATTTGTGCGGAAATGACACTTCACTGCAATACATAACAATTACGATTCAATCATATGAAATACACATTACATTACAAAACAGTATTACTTTAGATCAGTCTTTGGGTTTGGGATACGCTTTTAGGGGCAGAGAAACAATTGAAATACCACTGAAATTGTTGTCAATTTCTAATAATATCCAAATCGGAGTGCAATCGAAGAAATTGAAATTTTTTGAGTACAAACTCTTTAAAGTGATGAACATATTGTTCACAGAGAGTCTGTTGTATTGTTAGTGTATATATAATATCCTTAATATAGTGACTGTTGTTTTCTCGTGGGTTTTCTCGTGAGTAATGACGCGTAACGTTTTGGACCAACTTTTTTGGTGAAATTCAATGTATTGCTAACACTAGTGAACAACGATTTCCCTCCAAAATAAAAAAGTTTTTATCAATTGTATGGATGCTATGAATATATGCCTGAAAGCAATTCAATATATATATCATGAATATTGGACTCTATTTTTCTCCACAAGCGCTAACTTTGTTGCCTTGTTTTATGACATTTTAGTTGCATCCCTATCCCTATGCCCTTCAATATATCCCTATCCCTACTATCCCTATCCGCCGCACACTTATCCAACTCCGACACCCTTTTTTCCAACACCAGAGAATGACATTTAATCAATATTTAAAACTCTCCGCATATCTCTCTCTCCCCTTACTCTACAGTAAGTCTTGTTTCATGTTTTTAGACTTCAACTCTCTATACATTGAAAGAATTTTTTGGTTTGAATACAAAGAGGCGTTAAAATTCATAACAAAAATTTTCAAGAGTTTTCATTTTTTCTGCATTACATCTAATGGAGAATTTTCTTAGTTTTACAGAAAACCGCTTAACATATCATTTCTAACGATAAATGTTTTGAATATTTTATTCACTAATTAGCAAATAATGAATGAATGAATGCATATTCAGTTTAACAAAATTATTTATTTGACAAAATATTTTTGTTTAGTTGTGTTGTTTTCCTTCATCTTTTAATTGGCAACGATTAACAAAACAAATGAATAATGACTGCAAACATAGTATAAATATTTAATATAATTAATAATCTTCTCTTTAATAAACATAATAAAAACGTAAGAATTGTTCATAAAAACTGAGAGAGAGAGAGAGAGAGAGAGAGAGAGAGAGAGAAAGAGGCACTGAGAGATCACTACTCCTGTGATGGATATGAGAGCGAAAAAAGAAAAGAGTGCACAAAGAGTAGAGTAATGGAGAGAGAGAGAGAGAGAGAGAGCTTGTATTTAATAAAAAGTCCAACAGAAACACTATCAATAAATCTAGTGATCAGTCTATTGTTGTTACGCCACTGCATATGATTTGAAATATTTTTTGAAATATATTAAAATGTCATCTGAAAGATGAAAATGAATGCATTTCTGGCGATTCAAAACTTTTTATGAAAATTAATGAATATATAAAATAAGAATCTCATGAAATATTATTAGAATATTGAATACATTGAATACGTGTACTGTTTTGTAACAAAATATTTTTGCTCTTCACTCACTGAAAGAAACTTTATATTTAAAAGTGTTTTTCTTTATATAAGTTATTTCGATATTTTTAAATAAATGTAAAAAACACTGCATTATATGGTGTGTATGGTTGGTGTGGTTGGTATGGTTTGGCAAGTTTTTTAACATCTTATCAAACACTGTATTATTATTGAATCCCTGTATACGCTATTGTGGCCCTAACACAGACACACTACTAGTGCTCCCGTACTGTAAGGCACTGTACAGTGCTCTGTATGGTCTAGTGATGTAGTGATGATCAATACATTCACTTTTCACCAGTAATTCCCATTCACCTGACAATCTAACAGAGCTCTAAAGCATTAAGCATTTTTGAGTATTACATTATTTGCACCCAACTTTTCCTATCATATGAAACACTACAATACACGTGATTGTGAGAAACCGTGCAAATGGTCTGTCCGTCTCTTTCGTTCAATTTGTTTGATTATTTCAAAACTTGAATTCCTTTTTGTGTCGAAAATTTTCAAAGCCGATGAGTTTTTCATCCAAATGACAGTTTAGTTCAGTTTCTAAAACTTTATTTTCGATTTTAATAGCGTTTGGAAGTAATGGACAGCAAAACACATCAAACGATATGTACTTTATTTTGTAATTCGTTTGCGATGTTTGACAGAAAGCGTTTGGAGTGTTGGCCTGTCGTCTGTGTCCTACACTTCCCTACAGTTGGTAAGCACTGAACGCTCGTATTCTCGTGACATCTTAACAGTTGGTGCGAAAGAGAAGAATCCAATCCCTGTCTCTGTCTTCCATACAATTGGATGAAACTTTCAAACTGTCATCACTTGTACTGAAACTTTAATACCAAAAAGCATTTCACATCATTTTTATCCTTTCTTTCTGTTCCCTTAGAGGCATCTCTCTCTCTCTCTCTCTCTCTCTCTCTCCTCTGCATTACTCTACTCTTTGTGAACAGCAATAGTGAATGTATGAGTCTATTACGTAACTAACGCTATCGTCAAACTGCACTTTTTGCCTGTAATGACGACCTCTCTCTCTCTCTCTCTCTCTCTCTCTCTCGCCTCTGCATTACTCTACTCTTTGTGCACTCTTTTCTTTTTTCGCTCTCATATCCATCACAGGAGTAGTGATCTCTCAGTGCCTCTCAGTGCTGGCATCGCAGGGATTTGGTTAACTTATTTTGCATTTTGTGTATTGAGAAGTGGGGGTAGAGATGGTATGGATAGAAAAAAAGTATGCAAAAGAGCCATTTTAATGAAGACGATTGATTTTGTGAGCGTTCGTGCTATGAGTGCTATGAACTGGAGTTTAGGGCTTTAAAGGCCAACTCGACTACTAATGTATTATATTATATGCAAAAATCAATAAGTTTTAGAATTAAGGGTCTAAAGAATGGATGCAATGGCTCTATGAAAGATCCACACAACAGTCAGGGAGAGAGGGAGAGAGCGCTAGGAGGGAGAGAGTGAGTGGTCGTCATTACAGGCAAAAAGTGCAGTTTCACGATAGCGTTAGTTATGTAATAGACTCATACATTCACTATTGCTGTGCATGTGTTTCACTAATTGATTGATTTGTGAGGCGTCTTAATCTACTATAACGCCGGCGCTTCAGTGCATACACACCATCAACACTAAAGCATAGCACTGGTAGTGAAGCTGTTCTCATCA